GGTAGGTGCCTCATCCCTAATAACACCGATCTCCCAGAAACATCCTATTTATGTACCATTAAGGTCCTTATGTTTCCGACATAAATGGTACATCGCTGCGATGTTTGTAATGTAACATCTCTAGGATGATTGTCCTGAAATGTTTTAGAAACATCCTTTCGAAAATATCTATCGACAAAAAGATTTTTCGTTCTCAAAATTAGATACTTATTACAGCTGAAAAATGGCTAACATTATTTTACAAAACTAGGTAGGACCTCAGACCGGCAGGACCCAGTATTAAATTTGCCAATTTTGTGTGATTTCTGAAAATGTCTCTATCACACACACAAACTAATTTCAAATTCCATAATATACCTGTAATGTATATAGATAAGGTACTTAATATTAATTTTGTATTGTAACAACAGCAAAATTTAATTTTTCATTCGACTTACAACTTGGAATAAAATAAAATATGTATTGATGAAAGTCTTCTCTCTTTTCAACTTTCAAACATCGTGAATATTCGTGAAGCCGAAGTGTATGGCGCAGGCGCGTGCTCAGGCATTTGTACTTGGAGATGGCTCCATTTGTGCTACTGTGCATTTGTGCTAATCCGCAGGGATCGCCCCATTTGTGCTAATGTTCATTTGCTCTACCCACCCGAAGTCGCTTTCGGGCGGGAGCGTCGGGCGAGCCGAAGTCCGACCGGAGTATATCCCTCGAGATGGCTCCATTTGTGCTACTGTGCATTTGTGCTAATCCGCAAATGGTCTACTCACGAACGCGATCGGCTATGATCGGGATCAGTTAACATGATCGCGGAGGCGTAGCAAGAGTAGTTGAAGGTTTTGTGTGCGCGGCGGGCGCGCGGAACATCTGGTGTAATCAGCTGATAATAATAAAAATAAATTAAAAAATGTATTTGTATTTAGTGAGATTGTGGACTTTATTTTTATTAACTACAGTAGAGTTAAGATTTTAGAAATATATAATATACTTATTTATTAAAGCGTAGAGTCCTTGTAGAGTTTATACAGACCTACCTATCCAAAGTATCTCCCCAGATTTAAAATCAAATGGGGTTGTATTATTTATTGATTTCCCAGAATATTAGGTCAATAAACCTAGCAGTCCCATATGGAAAAAAACGAAGGGATTGCTAGGTTAATATGAAATATCGCAGTCCCCTCTAGTGAAAAATATTTTTTTAAATTTTTCTTTGGTATCAGAATTTAGATAATATGCTTTTTAAAGTTCTCCTAAATACCTGGTCAAAGAAAAAATTGAATCAGTTAATTATTAACTGAATTACAGATTTTTTTTCAATATTAGGAAATTCCTGGATTCACGTTTACTTATTGGGGGTGTGTTAGAGGCTTACAGCCAATTTCATAATCAACTTAAAGTAAACTTTAAATATAAGGTCCATTTGAAGTAGAAAAATCCCATCCTAAAAGTCTATTTAGCTAAAGTAACTTTTAATTCTCTATCATGAAATTGGCCGTTAAACCGTTAAAGGCTGAAATGTTTTTGGATTGAATTTAGGTACCTACTATTTAAGTGCTCCTAAATTGTCAAAGAAACACTTGAATCTGTTAATTATTAACTGAATTACAGTTTTTTTTCATTATTGGCAAATTATTGGCTTCACGTTCAGTTGGTGGTGTGTCAGAGCTAAAATGTTTATGGATAGGAATTAGTGCTATTTAAGTGCTTCTCAATATTTGAAGAAAAACTTGAATCAGTTAATTATTAAACTGAAGTACAAATTTTTTTTTCATTAAGGAATTGCTGGCTTTACATTTACTTGGGGATGTATTTGCATTGCAGCGAATCTGAAAACTGCGACTAAAATGTTGTATTGGAATTTGGTGCTATTTAAGTGCTCCCAAAAAGTTGAAGTTTTAGATAGTTCAAGTTTTTCTTCGACTATTCAGGAGCACTAAGATAGCACCTAATTCCAATTATTACAACATTATAGCCACTGTTATCAGTGTTATCAGTTTCGCTGCAAATATTTACACCCCCAAGTAAACGTAAGGCCAGTAGTTCAGTTCCCTATAATAATACAAAAAAAATCTATAATTCAAATAATATAACTAATTCATGTTTTTCTTTGACTATTTAGGAGCACTTGAGCACCTAAGTCCTATCCAGAAAAAATTTAGCTTTTAACCACCAACTAGTTAAACGTGAAGCCAACAATTTCCATTTCCTAATAATGAGAAAAAATCTCTATTTAGTTTAATGATTAACTGATCAAATTTTCTTTGACTATTTGGAAACACTTGCATAGCAAGAATCATAAACTATAGGATTGCTTTTCCTTATAAGGCGTACGTTCGCCAATTCTCGAGTCGGCAAGGCCTGCGAGTGACGTTAGTACTATTAGCAGCATAGCCTCTTATAGTGGTGACGTCACCCGCAAGCCTCGATGGGATGCTTGCGATTCAGGTTGTGCTTGTTTCTTCATCGATTTTAAATGTAGAAAAGGTGATTCCTGGTAATGAAAAAAATCTGAATGACTGTTCTTCTTCGACTATTTAGGAGCACTTGGATAGCTTATTTGCTAATTCCTATCCAGAAACTAGCTTCTGCACACAGTGGCTTTACACTCGGTAAACTCCGAGCAGTCCGAGCGCGCTCGAAACATTAAGATAGCGAAAATAGAATTCAACTTCTGGAATCTCTTTCTCAGTGAAAATGTTCTATCTTTGATTGTTGAGTACCCGAATCAATACATAGAAATTGTAAAACCGAAATTCATCAGATGGTTCAATTTTTTTATCAATGATTTAGTATATGTATCTCTGTGATACAGCGTGACTAATGATGTTATAAAACTCGCGATGGAAGGTTAAAATAAATTAATATTTAACCAATAAAATATTAAAAGTTAAAATTTTCCATTTTTAAAGTAAACAAAACACCACACCCACTCAATACTTGAAAAATATCGAAATAGAATTCTATTTTCTATTTTAAATACCCGCCAGATGGAGAGGGAACGGCAACGCTGTACCCATTTGCGCTACAACAACTGCATTCGTTTCGATGAGGGTCATACTCCGGTCGGACTTCGGCTCGTCCGACGTTCCCGCCCGAAGGCGACTTCGGGTGGGTAGAGCAAATGAACATTAGCACAAATGGGGTGTTAGCACAAATGGGGCGATCCCTGTACTTGTACCGGTCAGGACAGGAGGGCACGCCACCACGTAGGGTCGGCGCCGCAGCCAGCGCAGACGGGCAGAATCAGTCGAACGGGTCGTCCTGTGCGCTTCGCTTGTGTTGTTGGGCGGAATTTTATTTCGTAATGGCGTCGTGCTGTGTGGAGGATTTGTCAATTTGTGGTTTTTCGCTACACCTAGTTGTGCCATTTTGTGTTCGAAAGGATCTCTGCGACCTACCAGTGCTTATTAGTTGGTGAGAAAGATTATTTGTTGAAAGATAACGTCGCATAACTATCAATTGTTTAGTTTATTTAATTTCAATATGGCGTCGGTTAGGAAATTTCTAACTTTTCTAATAAATAGCCCCTAAAAACCCGAACTTCATTCTTCATTAGGTAAGAGAAAATAACCAATAATTATTTTTTGTTTTCATAGTTGATTACATTCTAGGTGTGCAAGTTGAATTGTACTTCAAGAACTTTGGATTTTGGTTCTGTGGTTGTTTTGGTTAGTTAATGGTACCTTTATGAAATTGGAGCACCAAAAAAAAAAAGAAAACGCCGAACTCCCCCACTACAACATGCTGCCACTGCCAAACTATGGTTTTCGATGACATGACGGGGCATAAATACTACATTATTTAGGCAAAATTGTCCGTCGGTTATTATTAGTTGATAGATAATCAATATAAGTATGCATGTACCTTATTTTTTCAATAAAAAATGTTATTGGAAACTGATGTGCCTACTTAATTTTATAATTTTCAATTTTTGTTTTTTTTTTGGAAAAAGTTCTATCTGACTTCCAGAAAATAGAACGAAAATTGAAAATTATTGAATTAGGTAATTTTTAATCCATAATCCTAAAATTCATTCACCTATTAAAGTCATACTAGAAACATATAGAGGATGTTTCTTACACCTGCCCCGGATGTATTAGGTACATCCCGCGTCATCTTAGAAACATCCCTGAGAGATGTTTATAGGACATCGCAAATGATGACACGGCTGTTGCCTGCAACATCCCAGGGATGTCCCCAGGAAAATAGGGACCTCCCAGGGACGTCTTCATTATCCCTGATGGATGTTTCTGGAATGTTTCTGCGATGTTACTGTGTTATTAGGGATGGTATTTCAAAGAATATGTAGGTACCTACCTCAATCATGCCAAAAACAAACAAAAAATTGTCAAGAAGGTTCAATTTTTTTCAGATTTATCATCAAACTTTCACATAGGTAGGTACCTAAGTCTACACTAATGTGACAACTTGGAAGATATCAGAAAAGGGGTGGATAATATTGAATCAAAAAATCCACCCCCCAATTTCAAGGAGGTGTCTGTCGACCCCCAACCTTTTCTAATATATTTTGCTTCTAGTAGTTACAAAAAAAAAAAATATAATAAATATATATCAAACTCCCAGGAATGCGATTCAATTTCTATGCAAAGCTCCATGACATCTCGAAAAAGAAAAATAATGAGTTCAAACCACGTTCAAATTCACAACTTCCACCTGAAAACAGTGAAAAATATAATCCCTCAAAAACTCCAAACACTGCCTTCCGATTCCCTTTGAATTTCCACAATTTATATGTGTTTTTAAAATACATACAAACCTTAAATAGGTAGGTACTTACCTACCCACACACGTCAGGAAAGCCTGAATTTATTTATGAAATTATAATGGAGGAAACAAGGTAATATATGGAAAGATAGAAAAAATAGAAAATATAATATAACAGTTGGGGAGGATTTGATGAAAAAGTGTTTTTTTTTTTGCTATGAGGCCTTATTGGATGATGTTTAAGAATTTACTCACCCTTAACTAAATAAAAATAAAAATTCAAAAATAAAATAGAAGTATTTATTTTAAATCACACAGAACAATACACAATAATTATCTAGAGGTATCAATATGTGTTTTTTGACACAAAAGTTTCTATGGCAGGTTTGTCTATCTTTGAATAATCTAGCTATTGGAGTATATTTAGTACTTAAAAAGGCTTAGCTATCTAAACAATAAAAGTTAGTATATTTAAACAGTACAACAAATTTTGATTTTCTGATGTTTTTCTTCAAAATATCTTCATTATCAATACTTTTTATTTGAGGATTTTTCTCCTTTGCAGTAAATTTAACCTTAATGATTTATTTTGAATCATCTGAACATCATTATTAGTAGATACTTTGATTTGATTTATAATTCACAATAATTGTAAATCCCCAGTAGGTAGGTATAGTAAGAGATCTCATATTCAGTCTACAACAAAATAGAGGCTCAAACTCTAAATCTGAAAGTCACTTATTAAACAATTTGTTATTTTACTCTTAACTAAAAAAATTCACAGACATAAGGAAACTGAAAATCACAGACAAAAATCACCCCTTAAACTGGAATATTAATTAACGGATATAAATAATTAATAATGGCATAGTAATGGGCATATGCAGCCATCGCAACAAACAAATGCCAAATGGCATGGGCAAACGGTATTACCCCATCGCATTTGAAAAAAACTACCCCTAAAACATAAAGAATACCTCCTAGAGTCAATTCCATCATTCCCATGAAGTAATGCTGCAAAAATTAACAAATTAAGTATCTAGCTATATTTCAACTATTAATTACCTCTGATATTATAGGTAGTACTGGGCAAATGCCCATAATCAAATAAAAAACAATTTCCAGTCTCTTGTATTTTTCGTGGAAGATTTGCTGGTACACAATGCCCATCAGGGCCATTATCCATATGATCCAGCGCATGTGGGAAGACAGGCCTTCTAGAGGCAGTTGTTCGATAGTCAACCAAGGAAAATAAGAGCCTGCTATGAAAATGTAGATCATGCCTCTGTCGCAACGATGCAAGACATCTTTAAGAGTTTGTTGGTTTTGGCAATAGAATACACAATGGAAAGCTGTTGATGAACAAAAGAGGGATATTAGAGTTAGGCCGTAGACTATTGCGGAGATTAGTTGAGCATTGTTATGAGATCTTCTGTATAGTTCGAGGGTTCCTAGAAAACTTGGGAAGATCCATATGGCGTGAGTGATTATGTTGGCTATATGTTCTATATAGGCTGGTTGGTATTGTTCTTTTGATAGGGCACGGTTGTTCATCCATTTTATACTAAAAATTATATAGGTTTTAATTTTTTTTTATTGAAAAATAGTTCCTTATGTTGTAGGTACTTTACCTTTTTATATTTTTTATTAGTGGTACATTTTTGTTGTCCAAGCATTTCTCTATGGAAGTACTTTTATTAATCATGCCTGCAATTGTTTTACATTATTTAATCAAGTAAATTATTCAGAATTTTTATAATAAATAATAAAGAAATTTAAGAGAAATATAAACAATTTTCAAATTATTTTTGTTGACAATCAGCTGATTTGCTTGTTTGCTTAAGTTAGGCAACCAAACATACACTTTAAAAACCAATAGTGATCCACCATCTTATATCGGTCCTTGTCATTTTCCATTTGCTAAACAAAGATAGCCAACTATTGAAATCAATCATGATGATGAGAAAAAGAAATTTTATATGGGCAGGTCCGTATCCGTATTTAATTTGAGTTTTTTTTTTGTTTTCAAAAATGCCCATTAAGTAAAAATTTTCTTTTGCTAAGAAACTTACCAAAATTACACCTTTTCCAATTGTAATTGAGAGAAAAACAGATGTATTTCAGAAAAAGTCAAATGTAATTGAGAATAGTTAAATGATACCTATTCAGAGAATGCGTTAATAGTAATTGAGAAATAGTCCAATGTAATTGGGAAAGCTTCAATAGGCTCCTTGCATCAATTTTTTTTATTGCTGATTTCGATAGTCCATGAAAAATAAGTCAACACGTGTTTTTTCTTTTTCTTGTTAGTCAAAAATTGACAGAGATACAACGCTTTGAAATGTCCTTCCGACGTCATAACTTAGGTATAATACCTTGTGAGTTGTGACGTCGCACATGCTCAGTATATCTATATATATAAAACTCAATATTTTTATAACTTCCGAAATAATCAAATTTGGACAAAATAGAAAAACACGCATCGATTTTTTTTCGATTTCCTACAGTTTGCAATAAACAATATTCAATTTAATTTTTCATGCAAGTACCCTATTGTAATCTAGAATAGCCAAATGTAATAGAGAATGCGTTAACTGTAATTGAGAATAGTCAGATGTATTTGAGAAACCGTCAAATGTAGGTAATTGAGAAAACGTTAAATGTAATTGCGACTGCCTCATTGTATTTCAGTAAGCATCAAATGAGATTCAGAATAGGTCCAATGAAATTGAGATCATGCAAAATTCGAAACTAGAAAATATTTCTGAATAACATCTAACATTTTCTCAATTAACTACATACCGGGTGTTTTTCAAAACACGCTCACCCCTATAACTTTTTTATTTTTCCAGATAAACAAATGAAATTTCGTGTGTTTATTTATGACCCGGATGTGCATTATTTGACGTATTTAATTTTTCACTATCACTTCCGGTTTGACCGGAAGTGACCCTAACTTTCTTATTTTAAATGAGACGCTAGGTATATTTTTCCTCATTTTAATAGAAAACTACATTACGAGTACAATGACACCTCATTTGTCACTTTTTGACATTTCATCACCAAATTATTTAAATTTTTACTTTTAAATCTAGAGCACCATGAATAAGTCAAAATGCTTAATTTTGCTCCTAGGAACATGGGAAAATTTGTTTTGATCTTATTTTGTATTTTATATCGTCTACAGACTCATTTAAAGATAGTAGAAGCGCATTTTTAGAATTACCTATATCAGTTTTTTCAAATGGAAAGGGTATGGCTCATGAGCATGTTCCAAAAGAGGGTTTTCTAACGAGCAATTCAGTAGGTACCACACAATCGCTAGTTCATCACTCAAATTAAGAATTTTTCTAGCATTCTAAATATTTTTGGAAAATTTTAGTTCAATATTTGAATAAACTAGCGATTGTGTGGTACTGAATTGTTTGTTAGAAAATGCTCTATCGAAATATGCTAATGCGCCATACCCTTTCCATTTGAAAAAATTGATATAATTCCAAAAATGCGCTGCTACTAACTTTAAATGAGCCTTTAGAGGATATAAAATTCAAAATAAGCTCAAAACAAATTTTCCCATGTTTCTAGAAGCAAAATTAAGCATTTTAACTTATTCATGGCGCTCTAGATTAAAAAGTAAAAATTTTAATAATTTGGAGGTGAAATGTCAAAAAGTGACAAATGAGGTGTCATTGTACTCGTCATGTAGTTTTCTATTGAAATGAGGAAAAATTTACCTGGCGTCTCATTTAAAATAAGGAAGTTAGGGTCACTTCCGGTCAAACCGGAAGTGATAGTAAAAAATTGAATACGTCAAATAATGCATATCCGGGTCATAAATAAACACACCAAATTTCATTTGTTTATTTGAAAAAAATAAAAAAGTTATAGGGGTGAGCCGGTTTTGAAAACACCCGGTATAATGACTATTTAATGATCTTTTTAAGGTAGGGAGCAATTCCTACATGGTGCAGTATTAATTGCACTCCCTATGTCCAACAATATCATTGCTCCAATTTCCCGGTGTCTATGAGACTTTTTTTGAATGCCCTCCCGCCCTTTTCCTTAGGATTTCTGTCACCAGCATAAAGCTGTCTATCTGAAATGGTTTCCTTTAGGTTAAGGTCGCTTTCCAATCTTTCCCGAATCGAGTGTTTCAGGTACATATTTACCAGCGGTGTTTGAAAGGCAGAGAGGTCTGAACTTGTTTTTTTTCCCCGGGTTTCTCAATTAGTACAATTACATTTGAAGCTTTCTTAATTACATTTGAGTATTCTCATTTACAAGTGACGTTTTCTGAATTACAATTGGAAAAAATGTAGTTTGGCAGTTAGTTACCGCGCTTATAAAACATTTAATGCTCTTTCAGATATAATATATAATTATTAGAGCCAATTTTCTCAAATATAATCGGAGGTACAGTGACTATTACCCACAGTGGCGACAATTAATTGCTGCCTTATTTTTGATTGGTTTCAAAATCCCATATATTTATATTGAAAACGCGGCCATCTTGTTCCCACATATTGCTTATTTCAAATATGAATATATGGGATTTGGGTGAACATCCATCATTAAACCTGGAAAACAACGTATTTGATGGACCTAATAATAGTCATCAAATACGTCGATTTCAATTTTTTATGATAGATGTCTATTTAAATCCTATACATTAATATTTAAGAGTAACAAGAGGTTGGGAACAAAATGGCGGCGGGACCTCTATTGCCGCCACTGTATGTAAAGGTTCATTTCAATGACCTACAACCACAGATAGACGGATTTATAAACAAAAATATATGTTGACAACATGTCCGATTCTTTCTATCCTGACGAAACTCCCCCACTACTAAAATGCCACATTTAGTCGTAGGAATATTTATTTTCTCTTTCTAACGCGGGTATAAAGTCCTGCGTTTCAATTACACTTGGCAACACAGCACTAGACATTTAGCCACTGTAATCGGAGGTATGAGCAATTATTCATATAACTACGCTGGATTTAAAAAAAATAATGGCATCAAAAATGATGGATCAGGTCGTTTAAAAGTCATTGTGAAACGGGCTTTTGGACAAACGTTAAGTTAAACTGCATTGTAGAGCTATTTACATTCACCAACTGTAAGATATTAACTTAACTTAAGGTATACTTTATAGGTATACTTGATAAAGTTGAACCTAACTAATTAGAATTAACCATCTATCAATGGAATCAGTAAACGTGTATATCTATTTTATTAAAGAGTTGTGACAAAGAATATTAAGATCATTTAACTCACTTTTAACTTCCAGTTAAATCAATTTAAAACCACTCTATTCAAAATCTACCACTTTACTATTTCATTTGCCACCAAACAATGCATAAAACCAATCACCATACCTACTGAAAATTATCTGATAAAATACACAAAATGGTTCCAAAGGTGTTGCAATTAAAATAAATGGATATTAAACGTGAAAACGTGTTTGTAGTGCAAAAATCATTTAATTTATTAAAAGCTAGCCTTTTGATTCTTGGCCTTTTCCTATTCATAATTTCAATAACAACTCATTACTATAATAATCAGCATAGGTCCTCTTATCTAAAATTGATTTGACGACATGGCAAATAAACCGCTAATTCCTTCCAGGGGATTATTATAAGAATAATTTATCGGAATTTATTGCCAAATGGATATAGCAAGCTATACCTATTTTATCGGAGAAATGTTCCTGAAAATAACGTGAAAATATGGGCTAGAAAATGCCTTTGGTGAAAAGTGATCAGTGCATTGAAGTACCAAACCAATTAGGAAGTGGACAGTCACTGAGAAGCGCCTATCACTTATGACAGTAGGTACCGACAAAAGAAACCCTATATTTTCTTCAAGGATAAATCAATTTGCACATCAGTTACCTCTGCACAAGCACAAATTAACCACCTCTTGTTGCCCAGATTAATTCCAAAACTCCACTTTGCTGGGTCAGCGTGACGAAGAAGAAGAAGAATGGTACGACGACTGCGTAGAAGTTCGAAGATGAGACATTTTGTCTTTATTCAATGAGCTGCATTTTTTTTTTGTTAAGCATTTCGACGCTCGTTTTATGTGTATTTGGTTTGTGGTGCCCTACTTTTACTTGCCAGTGCACATGACTTCTTGCGGCTACACAGAAAACCAAGCCTCGTTTGCTCTATCTTTGATCGGCCTCACCAACTTCATAGGAATGATAATATTCGGTATAATTGGTGATAAATTGGACGTTATCAAAATGTATTTGATAAGCTTGGTGTGCTGTGACTTCAGTTGCACTGCCATTATGTTTTTCACCTACTAACCAATGCTGTTAATTTCTTGTGGGCTGTTTGGATTGTCTTTTGCCAGCGTTAACGCACTAACGTCTCCGATATTGGTGGATTTGGTGCCGCTGGACACAGTGGCTTACGGATTTGAGCATGTTGTGTCAGGGTATCGGGAATTTGGCTGGACCTGGACCACCTTTAGCAGGTGAAAATTTTCTCGTTTGGAGTGTTGTATTAAAAATCTCTTTTTCACGATTTCTCTTGACATCACGCACTCTTATGAACAATCGTTTTACCATGCTGGTTTTTGGGTTATAGCGTCCGGACTATTGGTAGGGCTTATAGGTAGCATATTAAAACTTTGAAAATTGGGTGGAACCGGTAAGTCATTAGAGAGATATCGGTAACCCAAAAAGTGTCATGCAGTATTAGCGCTTACGTTATTTTGACATTAAACCTATGCGCGATTCGATTTTTAACACTACGTACTAAAATAACGTTACCGCATAACGTAATTTACCCAGCATTTACGTTAAGCGCTATTTCGAATAACGTCTAAAAATAACGCCGTGGAATAATAGGTTATGTTATGTTTATTGTTTATTTTATTATTTTTGTTGTGTTCAAGTGAATATGGAGTGTTCAATAAATAGTAAAAAAAGCAAATCCTCTGTCCCTGACCATGAACAACAGACAACACAAATCAAATCACAACAAGGTACAAGTTAGGCTACGGTTATAAAATAACGGATGCGAACAGGCAAATTTTACGTTAAACTGTTTTCCGATAACTCTAATTTGAAAGTATGATACCGCTTTACTTTAAAAAAATAACTGTTGACGTTATTACCGTCCATACGCGCTATCTGTTTTACAGATATCTCTCTATTGAGACGCACATTTTTCGTAAAAAAACAATTGAATATCACCTCCGGTTACTCCGGAAATGGACCCAAGTCAAGAAATTTTTATGGAACTCTGTATATTTTTTTGCACAGTTGGATAGAGCTTAAAATTGACCTTTTGTTTGGACGCCATATTGCGGTGCGCGAACATAGTTGCCAAAAGTATACTTTTGGCAACTATGAAAAGAAAAATTATTAGCATACTGTCAACATTAAAAACAAAAGTAACTGAATAATAGTTATTTATACACCAAGTGAGTTAAATGAATGTTTATTCATGAGAAGAAAGTTTAACCCACGAGCCCTAGCGAGTGGGTTAATTTTCTTCGAATGAATAAACATTTTAACTCACGTGAAGTATACAAAATTTTATCCCATTTTATGGAAATTTAAAAAATAAAGTATAAGGAAAAATGCCGGGAGTGAGTTAAAAATATTTTAAATCACTGAGGTTTCAAATTTTTAGTTGGGCAGAGTGACTTAAAATGCCGAGAGTGAGTTAAAATGTTTTTAAATCACTGAGGTGATAAACGTCTACTTACCTTTATTGTTATGCGTTCAATAATGTCATTTTTAAACGTCAAAATGGGATAAATTACATTTAAAATTTAAATTTGCCGCCTATAACGAATGTTTTTGGAAAGAAAAGTCATCAATTTTAGCTTGTATTGGGCAGAATAGAAATAATAAATATCTACCTATTTACTTTCATTGTCTTTCATCAATCAGAGAGAGAAAGTAAACAAACAAAAAGGATAGCGAGGATCAATCATTTAGTTACTTTTGTTTTAAATGTTGACAGCCCGCTAGTAATTTTTGTTTTCTTCTTTGCAACTATGTTCGCGCACCGCAATATGGCGTCCAAACAAAAGGTCAATTCCCTGTCCAATGACATATCACAACTTGCATTTGTTTCCAAGATGGCGGCGTAAGAAGGTATTTTTCTTAAATTCAATATGGCGGCATTCTGACGTAACCGATAATGTTTCTGTCAAACAAACACTTTTTTCTACGAGCGTGCGGGAAATGGCTCTTCCCGCACGATTTGCTGTGCGGGAAGACTTTCTTCCCGCACCGGTGCGGGAAGTTTGAAATAATCATTGTGACATGGAATTGTTTGTATTGTTGATACACCTATACCTGTACCTTTACCTTTTTATAAATACCTTTTATGTCCGATTGACCAATAAAGTGCTATTTATAGAACAGTTTTGCGTCAATAAAGTAGCACTTTATTGTACTAGTAAAATAAAGTGCTACTTTATTTCACTAGTAAAATAAAGTGCTAGTTTATTGCCTACCTGGACTACCTGACAAGGTAAAACAGGTCCTGACAACCTGCCAAGTTGAAACAGGTCTTGACAACCTGCCAAGGTGAAACAGGTATACCTACGCGAATTTTACTTTTTTCATTAGATTTTTTTAATTTTTAACAAAAACCAATCGCAATCGTACATAAAATCATGTATATAACGCTTACATAAACAGGCTTTATTGACTCATTATTTAATAGCCTCGCTCGCAAGCTCGCTCGGCCATAAAATTATTCGTACAATAAAGCCTTACTTTATATGTACTTGTTATATAAATAGCTATTATGTCCGATTGATCAATAAAGTGCTATTTATAGAACAGTTTTGCGTCAATAAAGTAGCACTTTATTGTACTAGTAAAATAAAGTGCTACTTTATTTTACTAGTAAAATAAAGTGCTACTTTATTGCCTACCTGGACTACCTGACAAGGTAAAACAGGTCCTGAAAACCCGCCAAGGTGAAACAGGTCCTGACAACCTGCCAAGGTGAAACAGGTATACCTACGCGAATTTTACTTTTTCCATTAATTTTTTTTAATTTTTAACAAAAACCAGTCGTAATCGTACATAAAATCATGTATATAACGCTTACATAAACAGGCTTTATTGACTCATTATTTAATAGCCTCGCTCGCAAGCTCGCTCGGCCATAAAATTATTCGTACAATAAAGCCTTACTTTATGTACTTGTTATATAAATAGCTATTAATACATTTTTAATTCTACCTTCTGCATAATAGCATTGTATTTAAATTAAACTCTTCGTAACATCAGCTTTAGTATGCTCGTAGAAAAAATATAGTTCCTAACTCTTGCGGGAAGAAATTTCCGGCACTCGGGCGCTTCGCACCCTCGTGCCGGAAATTTCTCTTCCCGCACTCGTTAGGAAAATAGCTATTCCCAATCCATAATTTTTTGATTTGAAATGGTTTTAGATCGAATTTGAAAAAAAAAAAAATGATTTTGCTCTAAAACAAGGGCATTTCAAAATTTCTTTGAAATGCAAATTTTAGTTTCAAATTTTCTAAAAATTTTGAATAGGAAGAGGTACTTATTAAATTCTAGAATTAAAGTGTGTCCAATGGCCTACCGAAAAATGTCTACCAAAATGCATATTCATTTTTCGGTTAGGTATTCAAAGGTTAGATTAGAATGCCGCCATATTGAATTTAAGAAAGTGCCTTCTCACGCCGCCATCTTAAAAGCAAATTCCACTTATCATATGTCATTGAAAAGGGAATTTTAAGCTCTATCCAACTGTGTAAAAAAATATACAGGGTTCCATAAAAATTTCTTGACTTGGGTCCATTTTCAAAGTAACCGGAAGTGATATTCAATTGTTTTTTTATGAAAAGTGTGCGTCTCAATGACTTACCCGTTCCACCCGATTTTCAAATTTTTAAATTTAAAGACAACTGAATGACGCCTTGTATAACGATTTCGTTGTCACCCGGTATACGAAAAATAGGAAAATTATTGAAAATGGGATCTTCAGTCAACGATAGCAAGTATCTCTATGAATCATCACTGAAGAATGTAATTAGAACAAAAAAATGCCAGGGCCCGCACTCTCGAAACAGGGGAGCAGCATTCTCGTGAGAATGAATATTCTGTCTTAGTCGCCCATATTGTTATTTCCATAATACTGACAAAGACAAAACCATCGTTCTCTTGAGAACGCTATTCCCCAGTTTCGAGAATACGGTCAAAGGAAGTTGGTTAAAAATGGATCTCGCGCGGTTGTAAACAAACTCCGACAAGATTTTCAATACCTTTGTTGAAATCTAATTTATCAGTCGACTATTTATCGTCATGGAAGAATAAGCTATTGAAAAATACTAAGGATAGTTTGTTTCAAGATCGGGGTGGCAAGAAGGGCAAACTTTACTGACCCTTTCATACGCACTGAAATAAAAAACCAGACAGTAGAGTGAATTTTATTGGTTGAAACTAGTTTTCTGACTCTTTCTAAGTGGATAGAACCATTAGAACCAATGAAATTCGCTCTGACTGGCTTGTAATTTCTGTGCAAACAGATCTATTGCACTTGAAATCTTTACTGTTTGTTTATTGACAACATGGCGTAGGCAGTTTAAATACTGAATTTTTTTTTGATTTTCTTGCTTTTGTTTTTTTGCCACTCTTTCACTAATTTATCAAGATAAGTAGGCTATAGATTATAGATGACGCTTCTAGGTATTGATTATTACTTGATTATTGGAACAGACCTGCTTATTTCTGACAGAATGGCGAAGGCACGAATCCTAATACAAAGTTAAAAATAATCAATAAATTATTGTTGTTCCAATGTTTTATAACTTAACCAAAATTGCTAGGAAAAAGTGTGCCTCTCATACACAAATCTATACAAGAAACGAGCCACTTTCATTCAAAAAACAATAAAAAAATCCTGCCATCGAACTCGATCAACGGACGCCACCGCAACTAAAGGTCTGTTCGCCCAGTAATCGCAAACCACTCAGGTTGAATTTCATTGGTTACAACTAGTTTTCTGACTGTTTTCAACCAATGAAACTCGCTCTAACTGGTTTGTGATTGCTGTGCGAACAAGCCTAATAATATTTCCAGTTGTTTAGCAGCAGCAGTGTTCATCAACACACACACACACACAAGTGTTTTTGTTTGGTAAAGAAGTTCTTCGTGGCAGAGTGCAATAATTTTCCGATTTGCGCGACCGTTTTCCGTTGATTTTTCCTGAATCTTGCAGGAACCAGTTCGGGAATCCGAGAAGGCAGTTCAGTGTAAATTGCAGACAATTCGGATGATTTCCAAAGTAAGTATTTGAATGTCTTTGTTTGCAAATTTCAATCTAATTGAAAATCTTATGCAAGAAGCATTGATGATTTTTGAATTTAATTTTTTTCATTGAGTTAATAATGCACATTTTACTATAGAAAACTTCTATTTGATTTTTTTCTTTGAATTCAATCAATAATACAAACAACTTACATCAATATTTGTAACAAAAACAAACCCAATTTTATTAATTAAAACATATTTGTACAATATTCAATCATTTCTCTTAGTTGCCATTAATTAATTATCTTGTAATTAACTATTAAAAATAATAAAACATTCTTTTATTATTGAAGTCAGCTGTTGACCATCATTGCACTCTTAGAACAGTTTCAACGTCGTCCGCCATATCTGTCTTTGTTTGTTTCATCTAACAGGTTGACGGTGCGAGAGAGAAGCGAATAGGAATTTGTCCGTTGTGAATATGTGCTGCAAGGAAATAATGAATGGGGAATGAAGTGCTTTGTTCCTTTGTTTATTCGATTTTAAATATTAATTTTAGAGAATTTTTAAATAATTTATTTTAGAACTTATGCATGCATAATGCTGGATGTTCCGTTGTTTCTTTAATGCTAAATACATAATGCAATGCTAAAAAATTAATGCTCTTATGTTAATTTAATGCTAACAATTTTTTTTTGCATTCTTTTACAATTTTTGTCTATTCCTGGATCTTGAATGTTTTCAAAATATGGAAAATTCAATCGAAGAGTTTCCTGGGAATAGAAAAAATATAAGTTTGCTTGTCTATCAAGTTTTTCTCAATTTTTATAAAATTTCCTTATCATTTCCCAAAGAGTTTCTCAATGTTTCTGAAATTTTTGTTTTTTTTTCCAAATTTCTCTCAATGAAAAATTCTCATGGAAAAGACAAAACATGTAGGTAAAATAAGTCTATTAGTTTTCTACTGAGCTTTCTACTATTTTTTCCTCAACTTTTGTATATTCCCAGCTCCTGAATTTTTTTTATTCAACAAGAGGTTTTTCACCTAACAAAATTTGTACACCCATTTACAGTAGGTACCAAAGTTCTGAGATATTTCCATGTATTAACAAAATATTTCCACATATTGCCAGGTATTTCCCTAGTATTATCACATATTACTAAGTATTGCCATGCTATTGACAGACTAAAATCAAATATTTGTCTTGCCAGAATTCTAGGTACATATTGACATATCCACAGGTAGGTATTTACATATTATTAATGGGTATCAACCAATGACATCAACATTATATTGCTTAGATATCTACAAGTATTAACATATATTACCTACATAATTACCAAGTAGGTATTGCATAGTATTGACACTATTGACATAGTATTTACCTGGTATTGACATATATTAACCAGCGATTTGTACACCGATTAACAAGGTGAAAAACCCCTCGTTCTTCAATTTTGACTAAATAGAAAAATCCAAGAGCCTGAAAGAAAGTGGAAAATAAAGATAGGAAATTTTAGAAAAATAAAAATTAGCAGACAAGAACATTTCCCAGACATCCTGAAGGCGTCCCTAAGATGTCCACGAATAACATACAAGACGTCAAAAATCCAAAAATTCACTCCCATAATTCCTTAAAAATTATCCTGAGAATTCCATACATCTGTCAAAACTGGTATTCCAACAATAAATTGACATGTTTTGATTGTTGATTTGAACCAATCAGATTGTAATTACGCGTGCAAATTATCAGACAATTGCATACTAACTGGTGCGAAAACTGGTGTTTTAACATTTTTTGACAAAAAATTTAAATTTCTGATTTATGAAATTCTCTCATTAAATCATTAAATACAACTCGTTCAATGGAAATATATTTATAATTTTCCACAAATTTGCACTCATGCGTTTTTAACTGAAAAAGGCACTCGTGCACTACGTGCACTCGTGCTCTTTTTCAACTAAAAATGCATTCGGGCAAATTTCCCAAAAATTATCAATAATTTCCATTGCACTAGTTATATTACTATTGATTATTCCACTCATGTGTTAGAAATTCCATAAGGCAAGTGACGCTTTTCAGAATTACAGCGAAAATTCTCTTTTCCATTTGTTTAACTAGAGAGAATTACAGCGATAATTCTCCCATGTTATTGTATACATGGTTGTCATGCTAATTTTTGATACAAACAAACGGTTCCTGATAGCAACCATTTATTTGTATTGATTGTTAAGATGTTCAAATCGTTCAATACATATTTACTTCCATATTTTTTGCATTCTCATACGTGAAATAATCCTCTAAATACCACTCGAGCTTTAAAATGGACCAGATAATTTTTCACTCATGCGTGTTTTCTCTGCATTATCGGTAATTTTGAAGCTCTCGTGGTATTATCCCCGAAAGTTTCAAGTTGCTGAGATGGCTGAATGTATTTTTCAGGAACCTTCATGATGATTTTACAGGAATTTTATGATTTTTTCAGATATGAGTAAAAAATTTGTTGTGACTTTCATGTGTTTGGTATTAAATCCTTCTGGCTTTCCGCTAGGTGGCCAGCAGGTTTCGACGAAAAAAAAAGACCACAATGAAAAAAAAATAAAAATAATAATTAGCGAACTTCACAAGGTGGGAATACGGTCAGAGAACTTTCTGCTTCAAATCTAAACAGTCCCTGCTCGGGTGCCAAAATTTTTAAGCCTTCTGGCTTTTCGCTGGACGGCCGGTCGAGTTTCGGCGGAACTTGCTCTAGCGCCATAGGCGTCGGAATTTCAAAATTTCTATAGGGGCTCGGGCTCCAAAAATTACTAGAAGTAGAATTAATTATACAGACAGGACTAAACCACTACACACATTGGCTTAAATGGGACCAGTCGTTCATTGATCGTCTCTGCATATTATTAAAATTCGTGGATTTCCGGCAGCCCGCTTATAATCGAATATTCGAGTCCGGCAGCACCATTGCAGTAGCCAGGATTTTGTCTTGAGGAGAGGGGGCAAATTTCCACGGAGAAATCCTTGAAGCTACGCCGAAGGCGCGAAATTTTGATCTCTTTACGGTATTTTTGGGACTCCTGATGGTGGGGGCAAGCGGGGATGCGGCCATTTTCACAAATTTTGATAAGAATTTATAGTAGGTAGAACATTACTTTTATTATAATATCATATTATGTCAAGGCAAAAACATATTATATTTTGGAAAAAAAATAGAAAAAACGAGAGAAAAAAATAAACTGAACCCATTTAGGAGATATTTGGGATGCCCTTTAGACCGTCATGACAAACAAAATTCAAAACACCCTTTATTTTTATTTTTCCAAATTTCAAAGCATCCTAGCTGGAAAGCAGAGAGTCTCAGAGAAAAACCTTAAATACAAAACCTGTAGATCTCATTGAGAACTACAAAAAATCTTATTAGAGTTACTCTTCCACGGGGCACCGTTTTTGAGAAAATCGACTTTCAATACATTTTCAGAAAAATTTCAACTTTGACGGCTTATATCTCGGAGACAAAAACAGCCTGAAATACCAATAATGTAGGTAATTTACCGCTCTTCCGAAGGAAATCTGATTCGAGGCAATCGGTTCGAAATTACCAAAGTTATAAGCGAAACAGTGGTGCCGTGTCGGGTCCCCAAAATTTTCCAGGATCAAAATCTTTTTTATTTTTTTCCGGGCTTACGAAGCGTCGGAGCAAAAAACACCAGGAAATATTTTCGACGTATTTTCGGCTCGTCTATCCAATGGTATTTTCTAAAAATTTGGAAAATTAAATGCAGGGTGTGTATGCACCATTACAAACCCTTTTCCAAAATTGGGGGATAGGGGCTGAAATCCCTCTGGTAGGTCGAAGAGGGCTGAAACTTGGAATATCAACTTTTCTGGACCCCTTTCACCTATATTCTGAAATTCAGTCGAATCAGCAAAAAAAAATATTTAGGGGGCTTTGCTTTTCAGATAGGGGCCCCCCGTATAGGTAGGTAAAAAAGCCAGTGTGATGTACATCATGATATATTCATGTGATGTGATGTAAACATATCTATCATGAAAACAAACAGAAAGGAAAAATCCAACGACTTATTGAAAATACAGGCTTAAATACTATGCAACAAAATATTCAAACTGTTTGTAATGGAGGTATAACAAAAACATAAAGCACACAAATTTGATATAGAAATTAATGGTTAGGAACTCAATATTTTTTACCTTCCCACTACATGTAATACCTAAATCACTATGGGGGCTCCGCCCCCATAGACAGTTCACTATGAGGGCTCAAGCCCCCATTTCCCCCATAGTTCCGGCGCCTATGTCTAGCGCCACCTTTTGAGTTATTTGAAAGCGACAAAGGGATTGCTTACGGACAGCCGTAAGGTAACTAAGTGAAGTACAAAATGTCCAGGGCGTCAATAGTAAAAGCAGGGATTTGAAATTGAAACTCACAATACACAGTAGTAAATAACAGGTTTATTTCAAAAGAAAACAAACAACCAAATAAACAAAAATAGTAACTTCGTTACACTATCATGAAAAAACTTCATTTAACAAATCCTGAAAGTTTCAAGTCGCTGGGATTGGGATTGCTCAAAGTGTTTTTCAGGAACCTTCAAAGATGATTTTACAGGAATTTAATGATTTTCTCAGATATCGATGAGTAAAAAATGTGTAACTTTAGTTGTGACTTTCATATCAACTTCCAACTTGTTTTGTATTGAAGCCTTCTGCTTTCCGCTAGATGGCCAGCTGGTTTCGGCAGGAAGATAAAAAATCAGTGAACTCCACAAGGTCGGAAATACGGGCAGAGAACTCCCTGCTTCAAATCTAAACAGTCCCTGCTCGGGCGCCAAATTTGTAAAGCCTTCTGGCTTTTCGCTGGACGGCCGGTCGGGTTTCGGCGGAACTTGCTCTAGCGCCACTCTTTGAGTTATTTGAAAACGACAAAGGCATTGCTTACGGACAGCCAAAGGGTAGCTAAGTGAAGTACAAAATGTCCAGGGCGTCAATAGTAGAAGCAAGGAGTTTGAATTGAAAC